AATATTCTATCTTCAATACTTGAAGCTTGATTAGTATGTATGTGAAGCTTTGACCCATTTGACATATGCTAGAACACCATCTTGAAACTTGATGTCATTTGAGTCTCTTACTTTTTGCATACACATGTTGCGTAGAAAACTTGTTGTCTTCATCAAAACTTTTATGCGCTTGAAGCTTGCTTCTACAAATTTTGATTTTAAAGTCCAACTTACATCTAGCTATCACATTTTTTTGTTATGTGATATCAACACAATAAAGTAGTCGAAGTTAAAATAATTTTGCAATAATATCCATTTATGCAATATCATCATTAATGACAGTGAATTGCAACATATTGTCTGGATCCTTCAACAAATTACGACACATCTCTAGAACCCAAATAACATTATTCTCATTTTAATAGTTCATAAAAGTAAATGCAATTAAATATCTCATATATGCATAAGTGAGACCAACAAATTCAAGCAAATGTAGTTTGTGTTTGCTGGTGTTGTATGTTGAATCCATGAGCAATACAATAAGAAAAGTGTTAAGCAATTTGATATATTATGAATGCGCCCAAAATATATCTCATATGATTTTTGAATCACCAAACATTCTATATCAGAGACATACTCATACTCATCCTATAATTTTAATAGATCTTGCATTTAAGTTCTCGATCGAATCCATTATATTCCATTTAATGATCAAATAATTACTAACATCTATTTTATCAAAAACTAATTTAGCAACATCAGTTTCGCCAACATACAGTTCAACAACATAAGGTATTTGAGTTTTCAGTCCAACAATATCAAATTCCTCAGTAATAAGGTTGACAATATATATATATATATATATATATATATATATATATATATATATATATATATATATATATATATATATATATATATATATATATATATATATATATATATATATATATATATATATATATATATATATATATATATATATATATATATATATATATATATATATATATATATATATATATATCAAATTCCTCAAACAAATTGACAAAAATTATTTTTAAAAAATAATGGCTAGTGGAAATAACTTGAATCGATTCGTCTAAACCGAACCACTATCGGAAAAACTCATATATGCATATATGAAAACCAATCGAAGATAATGATAATCAACTTAATCAATATGCTTTAATCACAATCACTAGAAAACTACTCCACAAGCAATTCTATATCCAATGATAAATCACACAAAAATACTATTGAGACAAATTATCAAACACTTTGTGTGCAATTAATTTAGTTTGGAAATTTGTATAATTTTGTTAATCTTAAAATCCAACCACGATCAAAATGATTGTGATCAATTCAACAAATCATTTTCAAATGGTTTTTAAAAGAAATTGCCAAATGAATTAATCGCACAAATGATGAACATAACAATTTGCAAATGAAATGTAAAAGATATATATATATATATATATATATATATATATATATATAGATATATATATATATATATATATATATATATATATATATATATATATATATATATATATATATATATATATATATATATATATATATATATATATATATATATATATATATATATATATATATATATATATATATATATATATATATATATATATATATATATATATATATATATATATATATATATATATATATATATATATATATATATATATATATATATATATATATATATATATATATATATATATAGAGAGAGAGAGAGAGAGAGAGAGAGAGAGAGAGAGAGAGAGAGAGAGATAGAGATAGAGATAGAGAGAGATAGAGAGATAGAGATAGAGATAGAGATAGAGATAGAGAGAGAGAGAGAGAGAGAGAGAGAGAGAGAGAGAGAGAGAGAGAGAGAGATAGATAAATAGATAGATAGATAAATAGATAGATTGAGAGAGTACAGAGATTTGATTAGGTAGTTCTCTAATCGGTCTCGTTATGGGTACGTCTCCCCTCAATTTGAATTCGAATTGGGATCATGAAATTAACCTTACTTTGCAAATGTAGTTTACAAGAGAAATGTAGCAATGCAACTCTACAAACCCTAAGTTTGATGTTGATCCTAGCAATTTCTCTTCCCTTGATCTGAGCTTGATCAAATCACCAAACAATACCAATTTGATTCATCGTCTCTCTCAACTCCTTTGCAAGAACCACAACCCTTCAAAGCCTTCACTCGATTGAATCCAAACTTGAGTAATCTTTTCTAAAACCTTCAAATCCACACTTTGATCTTGAAGGAAAACCCTACATTGGTTTTCTTATTTGAAACCCCTCTAAGATCTCAACCTAATTTACAATACCACAAGCTAAATTGAACGTTATCAACTTGATTCTAGATGGCACCCAAATAATGAATTATTATATGTACTTTGTATTGTTTGTATGCATAAAACTAAGGTTGAATATGAAGAAGACTCTTAGTATGTTATAGGTTTCGTTTATGATTTTACCAAAATTATTGAAAATAAATAATGCATGTAACATGTATATATGTGTGAGCAAGTATGAAGTAAAAGGAATGGAAAATAATGCAATTTTTCCAAATTTTTGATGCATAGGTCGACCTTTGCAAGTCATGTGACAACCTATGCAGGCCATGTATCGACCTGTAGAGGCGACACATCTAACAAAGCATACATGCTTTAAAACTACAACACACGTACAAACAAATGAGACATTATATCTCCCTGTCTGACTCCTTTCCGACATTTGAAAAAACCATGCAATCCACCATTAATGGAAATAAAGACATTAGCAAATTCAAAAATCTTTTTAATTCATGTACAAACAATGTCACCGAAACCAAATTGTTTAAACACTATCCGAATAAATGACCAATCTAAAATATCAAAAACCTTGACTATATCAACATTTAACATTACATTTCCATCGAGAGTCTTCTTATAAATAATATTTGCCACCTCAAAAATAAGACAAATATAATTCTTAATGTTTCTCCCATCCTTTTTATTTCTTAGATATAATGCAAGTATATGCCAAAACTTTTTGTGATAATTTAAAACTTGAAATTAGCATAACCAATATGCCTATCCTAATCTATGCTATGTACCTCCTTGATTTTAGGAATTAAATCACACTATTTGAGTTGTAATATCAAATGGCTACATATTTATATTTGAAAAGTTCTAATATATGCGAAAAGTGGAAAGAGAAAATATCTTTAAAATATTTGTTTGTATATAATATAAGCATATATTCTCCAAGATTTGAGAGATATTTTGGGTGATCTAGGCCCAATGTATTGTGCAAAACCCTATCGTCATTTAGCGGGAGGGTTGTACTTGCAATCCCCAAAATTGATCGGATCCTACGAGGCACAAAATTCCCTTTTTTTCTTCACAATCCCCAAAATTTTATTTCTTTATTAACCCTACTCATTATTTAATTGAGCTTTATCCGTAACAAAAAAGTGCTTTTTCTGTTTGCTTCTCAAAACCCCATTTCCCAAATCCCAGAAACATCGCCGATATCTCAATTCTCAACCCAAACAAGAGAGAGAAAAAAACAAACTTTTTTTAGAGAGAGAAAGTAAGCATAGCCCTAGAAATTTATGCAACCAGATAAGGACTTGTTTGTGTAGCTCATACACTACACTAGATAGTGAGAGAAAAAAACATTCTTTTCCCATTTTTAATAAAACCCCTTTTTCTCTTTTCCATTGTTGCTGAGTGATTTGCATTCTTCACTTCTCCAAGTGCAGAAAAACCATAACTTTTTTGATATATTTTTTTTTTTTTTACAATAACTAGCTTCGATTTCTTCACAGGGGGAATTGGTTATGTGCAACAGTGAAACCTTTTGATCTCGCCTACAAAATGTATGTATAAATTCTCTTCCTTTCTCGTTTTTGTTATATATTTCTATCTGCATGTTGCATTTTATTTTTCATGTATTTGCGTTGTTGAGTTTTGTTCTAATACAAAACCCAATTTACCAAAGTTTGTTACTTTTTATGTTAGAAATATCATGGCTATGTCATGTTTGAGGTTTCTTTGTTGTGCTGTGGCATTCTGTGGTTCTCTTTATTTGTAACTGGGTTTTTGAGCTTTTTATGCCATTGGTTTGAAGCAATACTTTTATATCTTTTCTGCCACTTTTTTGGTTTTGGTTAGTTGATTATCTTAGGGTTGGCATGGAAGGTTGAGTTTTATCTGTAATTGATATGTGGGTTATCTTTGAATTTGCTTTGTTTTTAAGGTTTATAATGGTGCTGGTAGAGTGGACCTTTCCATGTTCAACATGAAGCCTTTTATTTTTGTATAGCTCCATGTAGCACTGTAACTGCGACGGCCACCGACCCATTTGTTCATGTTTAGTCACTTCCATATTTTAGCGGTGTCTACGCGTCAGTGTTATTTTGGTGCTTCTTAAGTTTGGTAAGATGTGATATAGCTTCTATATTTGTCTTCTGTTAAGCATGTACATGTTATTATTGGATAGTGTGGTTCCCTTATTTGTGTGGATGCCCTTGGCTTTCCATCTTTTTTTCTAATATATCTTCTGCTTTATGGACTTATTGGATAGTGTGGTTGTCTTATCTTCTACATTTGTGGGGTACTTTTGAGGCTTGTGTCTTTTCACTTTCTTTCATATGTTTGTTAATATGTTGCCATCAAGGAGAAACTTTATCCTACTTGAAGCTACCTTATTTTGATTTGAAGGGTTATTACTTATTAGTCTTCATCCTCAAAATACGGTTACAGATAATATAATTTAAGGCTTAAGCTAAACACTGTATGAAACTTTTTTTACGGTCACTGTTTGACATTCTTGTTGGTAATATTTTTTGAATTTCATATATTTTATGGTATTCTAATATGTGTAACTTTTTCACTTTAAATTTTGTCACGATACTCTACGGACAGAGCTTAGTGATAGGTTTTTAGTGAATTTGAATATCGGAGGTCAAAGTTTTTTGTGAAAGAAGGCATTTTGAAAGTAAATGCATGGATCACGCGGACCATATGGCGTTATCCGGTTCTGCATCTTACTATATGCAGCAGAGAGGACTTGCTGGTTCTGGAGCACATCCTGAGTTACATGTTTCGTCGAGTTTTAACCATCTGTCTAATCCCAATCTACAATTTCAATCAAGCATTGGTGGTGGCAGTAACATTGGATCGACATTACCTTTAGAGTCTTCAGTAATTTCATCTCAAGGCGTCAATGTGAGTGGTCCTACCGGGGTACAGTCTGGGGAGACTGTAAAAAGGAAGAGAGGAAGACCGAGAAAATATGGCTCTGATAGAGTTGTGTCATTGGCACTTAGCCCAAGTCCAACACCGTCTAGTAATACTGGAACCGTGACGCAGGATGGTCCGAAACGAGGGAGAGGGCGTCCACTTGGGAGTGGGAAGAAACAGCAATGGGCTTCCTTTGGTAAAATCTCTATTGCAATTTATAGATTGTTGTGTTAGTAATGATAAATATTTGATGCATGAATGATATGTATGGGGTTTGGAGCAGTTTTTCAAACTGGTCATGAAATTAAGTGAGATAAATATTCATATGAACATAAAATGATCGTAATCTAAATCTTGTAAGAAACAAATTCAATATTAAGAAGCTAAATAATAATTCATATTCATTGTTGACTGTTCTTTTGTTGTACTTTTAACATGACATTGATTTTTTTTTTTTTGGGTTAAAAATTGTTTTATTCTGAATTTTTTTTAAATTACAAAAAAAGTTAATAAAAAAAATACAAGTAGTTCATACCGGTTCTTCATCAGTGATTCTGGGCTGGTCTGATTGATTCCTATCTTGTCAATAGCGGTTTGGGCCGCATGATAGAGTCGGGGCGGGGCGGAGTGGAACATTGTATAACCTCCCCCACACGTGGTGAGGTTGTATTGAATAGCGTTGCAGCCGCGTTCGCTCATGAGAGACACGTGTTTTGCCAAGGAGGTGCCACTATAGGAGCACACTTGTTTCAGGGTTTGAAAGATCCTAAAATGCCCTTAAAACGGAGTAGTTACAAGGGTATTTTTGGGGTTTTTGTACAGATAAAACCCTAATATCCTCTTCTCTTCTGTGACCACAGAACAGATCCGCCGCTCTCTTGTTACACTCCCTCTGCTGCGAATCAGCCGTTGTCCCAGCCCCCGCTTTCTCACCAGTTTTGTGAATCGAAGATGCCTGGTTTAGTTTTTGGTGGATCATCACGCCGATTTGGTAATGGTTTTTTAAAGTATGGTTTGAAGTTTTTCGTAGATCTATATTCCAATGTTACTCGCTCGAAGTTTTACTTTAGTTGTTTATTGATGTTGACTACTTGATTTGCTAATATCACAAAGACATGAATAAGCAATGCCATTTAAGTTCCATTGTATATCGTCGCCAATTTTCTCGAATTTAAAGTTTTGTTGATCTCCAAGATCGAGATGCATTTTTGATTATGAACAAAAGAAAATCTGATTACAATTAAATTCGCCAATTATGATTTAAATATTCATCTATATATGCCATGATGCCTTTCCTGATTCATTAGTTACTGCACCAGATTATAGAAATCACGCGATTGAAAAATATTTTATCAATCTTGACAAATTAAATGTTTCTAAGCAAGCTTGCCTTTACATGCGCGCATGCATGTGTACTATGATATCATTATAATGTTTTGCACTGCAATTTGCAATAATCAAAGTTGCATGGCTCAAATTCGCGCATAAAGTTATAAAATTACAAGAATTCCTTCATGACAACATGTGATGATACTTATATTTATCGTAACAACACATAAGTTCGCTAAGTTCTCTATCTGCATTTTCTGATGTTTTTAGTGGTTACTTATTGTCAGGTGAGCTGATATCTGATTCACCTGCGAGGGGATTGACTCCTTTTACGATCAGCATCGCTAGTGGAGAAGTATATTTTCTTAACCTTTTTATTAGGAATTTTGATTTATTTTTTGTTTATGTAGTATATGTTTTAAAATTTGTACGAAAATATATGGAAAAGAGAGGAAGAAAAAATCTGAATCTGAATGATATTACGTTCTTCTTTTAAGACTTGGAAGTCCGAATGACATTATGATGATGTGTTGATACGCAATTTTTTACAATCAGTAGCCGAATAACCTATATTTGCATCTATCATTCTTAGTGAATTATTTGTTATTAGTTAGTATGAATGACAATTACTACAAGATGCCTCATAAAACATAAGGATTCTTATGTTTTTACTTATTTAAATAAATATTACCTTCTGACTCCGAGTCAGATGGTAATATTACTTTCTGACTCTGAGTCAGAAGGTAACATTAGCTTCTGTTTTATATATGCTTTTTTACTCTTAAAAGGAAAACTTGACTTGATTTCCATTTATTCTTTTATGCTACTCGTTTCAAGTTTGTGCCAAATGTTGTGGTATTTATGTAAATATTGGAGAATTACACTTTTTGAACTTTTTTTCTTCTTCTGCAGGATATTGCACCAAAAATCTTGGAATTTTCTCAGGAGCGGGCTAGAGCTTTATGTGTTATCTCAGCTCATGGAAGGGTCTCGAGCGTGACACTTCGTCAGCCTGCAACTCAAGGTGGCACTATCAAACATGAGGTATGAACACTCTTACTGTTATTGTGTTAATTTAGATACACTTACAGATTCATATGGAACTACTGTTTCTCTGTCATTATAAGGATGTTTATATATTTATTTATCTGTAGGTGTTTAATTGTTTGCTTGATTTTGATGTTGTTAGGGAGATTTTGACATTTTGTGCATGTCTGGCTCTTACATGCCTACCGAGAGTGGCAGCTTGCTGAACCGAACTGGTGGAATAAGTGTTATCCTTAGTAATCCTGATGGCAGTCTCTTTGGTGGAAGAGTTGATGGACTGTTTACTGCTTCTGGTCCCGTCAAGGTAACAACATTTTCAGTGTTATCATAAATCATAATGTTACTTATAAGGTTTAACTATGTTTTTAGTCCTTGCAAATATACAGTTTTTTGTTTACGGTTCGTTTGGATTGACTTATTTTACATATCTACTAAAATAACCACTTTTGAGACTTTTTTAGAGAACTTATGAAAACATTGTTTATGATATGTTTATAAGCTGTTTTCAACTTATTGTCATAAGCTCTTCAAAATAGCTTATGAAAACCGCCTATATAATTTATGTGACTAGGCACTCATCATGGCAAGCATTTATGCTATAAATTACAGATAATGTTTATTCAAACTGGACCTTGGTTCTTGTAAAACAATACTTTGGTTTTAACCCTTAGTGTTGTAAGTAATGTGTTTTTATTATTAGTATTGACTTGTATTTGTCCCATTAACCTATTAGTTAGGTCCATTGGGTTAGAGTAGCCTATATAAATAGGTTAGTGCTTCTACATTATTTAAAACTTAAAATATATTACTCAGTTTTCACATGTCATTAGACCTCTCGAATTTGCCTTGCTTTCGCATAAATCTTAGCCTCCATCTATGTTTTTTGTTTTGTTTTTCTGCCTTCGTTGCAACTAAGTTGTTTTTTCCACCTTCATTGCTATTTCTTTTGTTTGTCTTCCTTCATTGCGGCTTCTTTGAGATCCAAAAAATACTGTTCACTACGAATACTTTTGTTGAGAGTCTTGCATCGGACAATATATGGTAGAAACATACGTTTATAAGTGGGGCTATCCTCACCTTTCAAGCCGGCTTTGTAAGGTTGTGTTAGGCCCAACCACATTTTTAAGATGTTGAAAGTTCCGCCTTCATTGCGATCTGCCCCTTGTCACATAATAGCGGAATTTGGGTTGCCTTAATTGCAGCTTCCGACAACTACATTGTGTTGGGTTTGAAGGGGGTGGATTTAGTCCACATTGCTGAGAGATATGGCCTGTATTGTTTTATAAGTGGAGACAATTTGTCCTGTACAAGATGATTTTGTAAGGTTTGGTTTGACCTAACCACAAATTTTAAGATGATATTAGGGTATATCCTAGATCTTTTGTTGGGTTTTCTGCATTGTCCACGCTTCGGTCTCATTGAGACAGTGGTGTAATATGTATTTTCTGTCATTTTTCAAGTCAACCTTACAGATCTTCTATCAAAGAGGTTGAAAAACAACTTTAAAAATATTGTTTTGAACCTTGAGAATGATAGATATTTTTTCACTAACTTAACATGTTATTCTTATTATTATTATTATTATTATTATTATTATTATTATTATTATTATTATTATTTATATGATAAATATGATTAGTTGATAGTGAAAAACATTTACAGATAAATTCTTATATAATTTTCCAGCTACTTTCTAAACACAATTTATGATTGTAGGTGATGGTTGGGACCTTTCTCTGGGGAAGACTGAGGGGAAGGAACAATAAGCGAAAGGAACGCTCAACTGATGCAGAAGTGGCTGCTGAATCATCTCAGCAAGGAGCTCTCAATGCAGGCGCACTGAACAGCATTTCACCTAATCAGAATCTGACTCCGACCTCATCCTTAAGCCCTTGGCCAGCAGCAGCAGTGTCGCGTCCGATGGAGATGCGTGATTCCAATGCTGACATTGATTTAATGCGCGGTTGACGCGTAATTTGTATATATATATGTTTCAGGCCCATGACAGTAAGTAAGTACAACATCAGGATAGAGCAACCTGACTGATAAATCTCACTTAGCTACCCTCCCCTCCACACATGATTTCACCTGGTGGTGTTTTCATGATTTTTAGCTGTGAGGAATTTTTATGTGATGGTTTCATGTTCCTGATTGCTGATGATAAATAAATGGCCTGCTTGAATAAAATAACTGAATGCAAGTGTCAAAATTCTGAGTTTTGTCATCCATTAAAAGAGTCTTTTCCTGTTAGAGGGATTAATATGGAAAGTTGCGAGCATAAGATAATTCTATTTTGCATCATTGGTCTCTAAATTTTCTCAAAATTTTAAATTAAACTGATCTTTTATTTATTTAAAATTTGTCAATTTGAATTATTTTTACATAGGAGTATAACAAAGCGGGTCCGATCTGTCGTACATGTATGTTTTGTCTGTGTTGTCCTAGCGGATGTCAAAGTAATAAGTCTGTACCTTATAATATGTTCATGTGCATTTTTTTTTCTTCATATGATATGAATGAGAATTTTTATTGACCAGACAAGTCCCGTCCTCCCATCCTGGTTGTGGTTTTTTTATCGGACGAGCCTAAACAGGCATATCATTTTTTCTTTTTTGGGGCAGACAGTTTCGGGCTCGCACCCTCAATTATATTTGTCATGCTCTCTGTTTCTTTGTGGTGTTTTACCATATGAATATGGGCTTGCACCCTCAATTGTTTTTGTCCTGCTCTGTTTCTTAGTGGTGTTTTACCATAGGAATTTGGGTTTGCACGTCAATTATGTTTGTTCCGCACTGTTTCTTTGTTTCTTTGTGGTGTTTTACCATAGGATCTTGGGTTCGCACCTCAATTATGTTTGTTCCACTTTGTTTTTTTGTGGTGTTTTATCATAGAAATCTAGGTTCTCACCTCAATTATGTTTGTTCTGCTCTGTTTCTTTGTGGTGTTTTACCATAGGAATCTGAGTTCGCATCTTCAATTATGTTTGTCCTGCTCCTCTGTTTTATTGTGGTGTTTTATCATAGGAATCTACGTGCATCGCCTATTTGTCACCTTTATTTTTACCCTTCATTATATATTTCTCTTTTGCACCTAATCTTTTAAAATTTTTAAAAGTGAAGAACTTTAATTAGTCTATCCATACAAGAATTTGCAATAAAACATTTGAGTTCACAATTTCAATTTTAAAATTATTTAGCCTATGTTTGGAATTACTTTAGAATCACGGTCAAGCCGCAAATTAGATAGAAGCTAACACTCTTAGCTTTAGAAAATTATGGTACACTAACCCTTACTCATCACATACACATTTAATTCAAACACACTCTTTGAGAAGATTAAATGTTAAAGTTGTGCATGTCACGCTCTATAGAGCAAGGGCCATACTAGTGGTGAGCTAAAGAATAAAGCCTTGAAGGATCATTGACTTCATTTCATATTTTTTGTTTGATTTTTTTTCATTGTTTTATTCTGAGCAGCTAAACTCCTTTTAAGAGTTAGAGTTAGATGAGCATTGTATGTACTCTTATGTTGTTAACTTTATCCATTTCGTGCAACCCATTTTTACGTGGTTGAACACTCATACATGCTCTTAATGCATTCAATATTTTATGGCAAGTCTCAATCCATCTTATGTATTTTTCAGAATCTTTAAAAAAAAATTATTTTGATCCTGTTTGGAAGAATCTTTCGAAAGAAGAATGCTTATAGACACCTTATTCTATCTCATGCACAAAACTATTTTTGTTTTATTCAATTATTGTGTTTTGTCACACAATTGATTTGTTTTTTTTACATCATTAATCTCGTCATTATTTTAAACTACAAATAATGTATTTCGATATCTCTTTTCAATAATTCATATTTTTGAGTTTCTAGATTTTGATAATATTGACATCATTAGAAATGATCATTCTAGAATCTTTCAAACTTTGTTTGAAAGAATTCTTTCAAATAAGTGTGAACGTTTGTTTGATTCTGATTTCTTTATGTACAACAAATATAAATATCGTGCACGTTGGTGTTGTCAATCCAATCTCTAAAGAATCAGATGTTGTAGCTTTGGGTATAATGTACCAGAGGTTCAAAACAGGGTGTTCCTAAATTCGATGTTGCTAAAATTAGTGTTGGAAACATTTTATCACTAATCATACATTTACATTACGTAACCATATGCTAAAATGAGTTCGTGCGAACGTTGTTAAGTTAGATTTTGGTGTAGTTAAAGAGACACATTATTTAAATTGTGATAGAAGAAAAGTTTATGTTGTGATGAGTTGTGGGGTCTGAGCTTAAATGTTGGAGCAGATGCAAGAGCTCTGGCCCGACCTCAATGTTACTGCTGATCAGCTGAATCCTTTTCTGATGGTTCTAGAGAGGATGTCGAAGGTGGTCTGAGTGTTTCAGAGTCAGACACTTACATTTGAATGCCTTTTGTTTTCCTTATTCTTATTCTTATCTGTTCCGGTAAGGTTTGACTAGGTTTTATGCATTAGCGTGTTATATATATCACATTAACCTTTGTCTGCTCGTGTTTTTTTGCTCTCGTATTGCACTTTTTCAATCGTTGTTATTGCTTGGCTGAGATCCAAGGAATGTTAGGGCTTGTCTTTGAGTCTTGCTGTTTGCACAGTATATTTGATATAGAAAACAATGAATAATATTTTCTTAAAGTGTAAATGATCTTAAGTATTTTTGTGAAGTCATGCATGACTTCTTTGTTTAAGAATGTGTCGCGTTAAGGTGCACACAATGTTTTGGCCGAATTCCTAACTAGTCAGATGCAATTTTTATTTGAGTATGCTTGCGCGGGAAAACATTGGTACAACTTGATATGTCTGTATATCATATTAGAGCCAACAGAATATGAGACTGACTTCAGACATTTATGACATCAAATATAACTGGAAGTATTTCTTGTAGAACCAACTAGACGCGATTATGCCTTAATCATGTTTTGCATGGATAAGACATGCATCAAGTTAAGTGTGATTATGTTTAGAATTGTACTTACAAATGATGGACATGAAACCGGCTAAATGGGACCATGCTTTTTTTAACCGCGCTCCACGTTACAGAGGACCATTCCCAGCCAACGTAGAAGATTCATGTCCTTATCCTCGAGGTAAAGCTCAGGTCGAGGTGGACGTCTCTAGGCTCCACCATTCCTTTCCTTAGATCGACTAGATTCGAATGGTGGAGGGGTGCGCCAGCTACGCATAAATGTATGTATATCTTTGTCAAGTGGTATATGAATATTGTATACGAATGTGCAAAGTGTCTCTAGTAGTACTCCTAGGGAAATTAGTTGCTGTAGTCGGATGTGCAAAGTGTCTTCGTCATCTATCCTTGATTCTGAAGGTGCATAAGGCTTAATGGGAAATTGATTGCTCTAGTCGGACATACGTTGCGTATCCGACAACATCTTTGAACTTCGAAGGCGCGCTCGACGCTAAGGGGTTTGATTGATTTAGTCAAACGTGCAAAGCATCTTTGAAAAAACCCCTGAAAAATATTTAGATTCGGCGTCAACTAATTTGGTTGTACCTAGGTTTGCTGTAATGCGTATTCGTATTTTGGTGCACTAAAGAAGGGATAAGGGAGGAAACCGAACAACGAGAATATAATAGTAACATATATATGTATTTCATTTCTCTATTATATAATTAGTTTACAAATACATTAATTAAATCTTACGCTCGATTACCAGTGTGTACCGATCACTCGCCCTCAGATATGTTATTTGGGTGGCTTGACGGTCGGATGATCCGGAGGATTGGGATCCTAGTTGGTGGGATGCACCAGCTATGCATAAATCTATGTATATCTTTGTCAAGTGGTATATGAATGTTGTATACGGATGTGCAAAGTGTCTCCGATAGCACTCCTGGGGAAATTAGTTGCAGTAGTCGGATGTGCAAAGCGTCTTCGTCAGCTATCCTAGATTCTGAAGGTGCACAAGGCTTAATGGGGAATTGATTTCTCTAGTCGGACGTACGTTGCGTATCCGACAACATCCATGAACTTCGAAGGCGCGCTCGACGCTAAGGGGTTTGATTGATTTAGTCAGACGTGCAAGGCATCTTTGAAAACCCCCTGAAAATCTTTAGATTTGGCGTCAACTACTTTGGTTGTACCTAGGTTTGTTGTAGTGCGTATTCGTATTTTGATGCGCTAAAGAAGGGATAAGGGAGGAAACAAAACAACGAAAGTATAATAGTAATGTATATATGTAATTCATTTCTCTATTATATAATTAATTTACAAATACATTAATTAAAACTTACCCTCGGTCACAAGTGTGTACCGATCACTTGCCCTCAGATATGTTATCTGGGTGGCTTGACGGTCGGCTGATCCGAAGGATTGGGACCTTAGTTGGTGGGATGCGCGACCTCACTGTTTGATATCTATGTCTAGATACATGGATATCTACGTCTTTCATTTCACGACGGTTCAAACTCGACATCACCGTTTCATTGGAATCAGATTGGAGCTTGGTGGATCCAAACATCGTAGACATGAGATTTTGGCTTCTCGAGACTTCAATTTTCTCACTTGAGATGCTTTCGGAGTTCATATATGATAATTGAACATGGAATCGTAGGAATCAGAAGTCGATTTCTACAGACGACGTCACTGTTCTATTGCAAAACCAAAATGGATGAGATTGCGGAGATCGTGGTAGAGCGGAGTTTTGAATGTGACTTTACAATGCAACACGTATGATCGATGGTTGCGATGACAATGCTTTTTGAACCGAAAGTGTTAATTTTGAGTCAGCATCACTAACCTCTAATACGACGGTTCATATAGGGAGGGGAGAGCACCTGCATGGTTAGCATCCCAATGCTCAAGTCAGTTTAGGGCTTCATGTAACTCCAAAGAGAGTGGAGAATAGAGATTGTGTACCCGAAAACCCTCTGTGAAAGTATTTATACCTTGGACTTAATGGAGTAAGTGGAATGAAT